CATAAGTGGCAATGCAAAAAGTTTTGGTTTATTTCTGGCTATCTGTTCCTTACTGCTTTCTATGTGATACTAACCATCTCAATAATTTCCATGCTCTCTTGAACTGTGATAGTACATGCAGCTACTCCATTTTTTTCTTTTCTGAAATAACTTTTTTCTGTCCCCTGCAGATTTGTACTTTTTTCTGCTTGCAATTGTTTTCCTTTAACAATCTGGTAACAGATCAGTCTTGTGACAATGTAAGTTCAGATATTTACAGATTTGCTGCCCAGCATGTATGTTTTTTTAATGGAAAATATTTAGAGCCATTCTGAAACGGAAAAAAGTAAAGGGATATAAGAGAAAAACAACTCTAGTTTCAGCAAAAAGCTTTGAAACTCTTCACTTTATCAGCAATCTGAATCCACCTCACACTTCTGACCATAAATCCTTAGTGCCTTTATGTAATGAGCTAAACATCTGAGCTCAGTTTCCAAAAGATGGGTATAAACATAATCTGTGGGCACTTTTGGTAGTACATGCCAAATATGATTTGGGTTTTGGAAATTACTGTTGCTTCTCCTATCACTGTTTCCTTCAAGCCAAATTGGAAGTAGGTTACTGAGATACTTCTGCCATTCCTGTGTCTGGTCCACACATTCCTGTGTCTGGTCCATGCTATTACGTCTCATCATAGCATAACAGTTAAGAATATGTTGGGTTTAAAGATAAAAGCTATGTGTATCCATAGGGTTTGAAAGACATCGTTGGAAATTTATGGAGTCCACAGAAGCCACCTTACGAAGGTTATGAAACCCTTGATTATCAAGTGGTTGGAGCTGGGATGTATTACTGGGAGGGATCATATAGGCTTCACCTGACATGCTTGACTCCAGGTATCTCATTTTGGCCACGCTCAAAGACTGGATGCTGAGTAGATAGACTTTCAGTCTGACCCAATATGGATGATTTTTGGGTTTGATATTCTTATACATTCAAGAACCAGACACAATACTGAAACGTGAAAGAAACTATAAAGGCTACCTCAAGGAGTCAGGTAAGGGCTACTAGACCAAAGTTGCCAATATGCCTGAGAAACAAAGACCCTTATTTGGGGGAAATACAGGTCTGACATAAATGCTCCATCTGAAATATACCATGAATCAGTACTCATGGACAGTTAATAATAGGTGCAATCTTTCTTTCCTAGAAATGGAAAATAATCTGAAAATAAATATCCACAAGCATGAGAAACTTTTTGCAAATTTGGTAAGCATATATTGCATGGCAGAAAGACAAAGACTATCTGCAAAGTAAACCTATTCATCTGTCTTTTAATTTAACAGCTAGCCTAAGGAATCAGTGCAGAATCAGATATAAATTTAGTGGTGATATGGATTGTGTGAGTAAAACATCTTGGAAATACATGAATTAAAATTTAATATATTATGGAGAACAAAGTCTTGTGTGCTTTTACAGCCTGATCTAACTCCTTATGAAGACAAAAGAAATATTCCTATTCACTTGTGTGCGTGCTGGACCAGATCAATACCAAGAAAATAACAACCCATATGCTTCTGATTCCACTGGGCTCTTGGTGGTGAAGAATAGCCACCTCTTTGACAAAGGAAGTACTATGACTCTCGAAAGAGAGTATTCCCTAATTTACACCATTCTGGGAGGAGAGTCTGGCCTGCCCTTGAGTGCATGCCTTCTTAACCCCTTAACATGTGCAGTAAGTAAATCCTGCAGAAAAGCTGCTGAACTTGCACATGCAGTAACTTCTAAAGCAAACTCCATGGCTGCCAAAAAGCGTATGTGAAGTCAGAAATAACTTTCAATACGGCAGGTGTTACAGTGCAATAAGGGCATGTCTTAGGTACGTTATAAAACACAGACTGAAGTGGTTCCAGGATCTGAGAGTTATTACAACACAGACTGTGAAGTTGCTATTTAGATGAAATTCCTCCTACCATGTCTTCAAACCATTTTTTCACTTTATTTGCTCCATTCACCACATTTAGATGCCACCATCTTGTATTTCCTTCTCTGAAAAGGAAATCCCCACTTCTCAGCATGAAACTTGAAAAGCTTTCAGTCTTAAAAGGAGCTGCTGAGCCTACGTCCTACACCCAGGTAACCTAAGCCATGTGGAAATATGAACTGTTCGCAACTTTCAAGTCCTCCGAAGCGGGCCAAGCTCAGGACCTAAGCCAGCACCATTAGTACCTCAAGCAGCAGACGGCAGTGGTTAGTGGGAAAGTCAAAAGTCAAGGGAGCGGGGAGAGTTGCCAAAGCACCCAAGAATATATGTGCATTAAAGCACCACTCTTGGAAAAGAGATGTTTGCACTAGTTCTGTGCGTGCCGGTACGTCCCTATGACAATGTTGATCCAGGAGAGGCTGACTATTGTCCTGAGAGTAGGATGCTGCCTCCCAACTAACGAGACCTGTCTCCGGTGGGATGCTGCCTCCTAACTAACAAGCCTTGTCTCCCAGCCCACCGGAGCATTGCTCCCACACAGCAGCACAGCCCCCCCACCAGGTCAGCATGCCCTCAGTGCCTGTGGAAAGCACATCTTTAGGTAGGGCACATGCTCCGCGACCACAGAGAGCCAGGCTTCGGGGGAACCCTTGAGTCAATCAGTGGGACTTCACAGCTCTAAGAATCTTTTTGGCCCTTTTGAAAAATCTCACACTAGATCTTACAAAACTGGCAGTATGCACAAGAGTATAAATTAGGACTTCAAAAAGAATTACTCCAAGAAGTAAGACCCAGCCTTTCATTAAGCCAAGGCTTCATCCTGCAATGGCAAAAAACAGAAACCAGGACCATGTTGCCTCATCTTTAATGTGCAACAAGAAAAGCTTTGGATACAGCTACAGTCAGGATTTTGCTTCACAGGAGGAAATCCAAGACGGTGGCTGCGAAGTGACAAATTCCTGCTTGTGCTGTTTTATTTCTGCTGGACGTAATGAGGTTGTTTAACTAGCCTGGCCTTTGCTTAAACATAATTCCCGCGCACACACACAGAGCCTCATATTTTCTGGATCAGTAGTACAGATATCACGAGAAACACTTTTCATTTCAGTTTCCCTAGAAGGGTACTAAGAATATGGAGTGATAAAGCAAAATTTGTCTTCTCAAACCTGGAGTTAGTCTCCAATTTATATAAAGACCTTTTTTTTTTCACTTGCTGATAGGAAAACTATATACCTTCTTCAGACCTGGGGTTTTGTTTGTTTGAGTTTATTTATTTCTCAAGGCAGCAGAACTGCCTCCCCTCCCACCCCCCCAAATGAGTGCAAGGTGTTAAAAATATGTGACAGTTTAGCCCGGGGCTTGTTTGGGAAGGAGGGCTGTTAGTTTTCTGAAGCCATTAAGGTGGTCATTCCTTCTATGGTGCTAACCCTTCCTCCTTGGTAGAGATTATTCCTTATTGATGTCTCTCTCCTACCAGAGATCTGCTTTATTAGATCTGTTCTCACACTTTCTTCACGTTGCAATGCAGCACATCACATAACAGCCATATCACAGAGCAGAGACACTACTAGTGCTGGCAAACGGCTCCCTTCTCATCCAGGATTTCAGCTTCATTTGGCTTGTGATCAGTAGTCGTGGACTCCCTAACACAGAGGTGGACTCTCTTTTGCTCCTTTGCCCTGCCTCCTTTTTTTAATCCTCCACTGTGCCAAAAAAATTACTTTGAAAGGTATTTGGAAGCTTTTTGACTTCAACATTTTTCAAGGTGTCAGGCTGGGAATTTCCCCAAAAATAGCAATAGTTAACTTAGCTAGCTATCATGTTTTAAATGTTTATTATATTTTTAAAGAGGTTTTTTCCTTTCTTCTGAAATGTGCCAGAAATATGGGGTTTCTGTTCCATACAGTGGTTCCCCTCACTTTTATTTTCTTGTTTTTAGTGGGAAAGTCAATGAACAGTGGTTTAGGAAGACGGGAAGGAGGCAGAGCAAATAGTAAGCACAAATTGAGGAGAATTTCCTCGTTCTTCCCTCAGAAAACCATGTCTCCTTTGTTTCTGGTTTTCTGTAAGGAATAGAAGAAAGCCACTTAAGTTAGCAAACAGAGTCCCATTCCAGCCGGGCAACTGATATAGCTCAAAGTGTGACAACAGAGTATGTTACAAAGATGAAACCTGCTCAGCTTAGTTGGACTTTATCTTTTACTTAGACACTGAAAGGCAAGGGGTTGCCCTGTGCCTGCAAGCAGCTGCGTGCAGATGGTGATGCACTGAACTCACCCACAAGAGTTTGAACTGTAAAGCATACAGTAAATCCATTTTGGATTTTAAACACTTTTTAAAAAATTCCTTCTCATTTTCACTCATCCTGGCAAATTTTTGCCCTTTGTGAGCTTCACGAGTCAAATCAGGCAAGGAGGATGCCGCTTATTGTTCAACCCCAAGTGACAAAGGGTGGAGAAAGGATTCGTCATCGCACTAAGTTATGGGAAGGGCTTTGGTTCCCTAAGATTCCACTGTAGTCAGTGGAGAGAGATGGCAACTCCCGGCTCAAATTGCAGGTATGTGAAAGCACTCTCTGGAAAGGCTCTTTTCTCTCTCCATGACTTTGGAAAGAACCCAGGTAATGAAGACAGATACAGATAGACAACAGCTGTAGAAAAAAAAATCTCTTTTCTTTTCTTCTTTTTATCAGTCATTGCTGTAAGGAGGAAAATGCTCACACACATGCACACACGTGCTCTGTCCCCACGGCTACATTTTACAGAACAGTAATCAAGTCCCAGGAAATGCAAGATACCTGACCTGGAATCAGGCCAGGACCCTGGGACTTAAATGTGCTACAAGTGCATATATATTTATATGCTTTACACAGCAAATGTGTAAATGTTTGCACAGCATCAGGTACATAACTCAGCTTTGCATTCATGCTAGGTACCATGGTGTTTTTAGAATAAATTGTGCCCTTGCACACCAGCAATATGCATGCAAGAAAAACTGGGGCTTATTTTAGTTCGGTGCAACTTGTTTAGGGAACTACTGTAGGAGGAAGAGCGCCGTATATTCCAGGCTAATGCTGGGATTATGTGTCATCTGACTTGGCAGCTCTGGGGCATTAACTGACATCGCGTATCAGGTTAGGTTAATAATCTACCACTTGGTTCTGCTTGAGCAGCTCTGTGTGCCCAGGGTAGAGATCAGTGACAAACAAGGAGTCTCGGAGGGAAAGGATTAGTTGCTGTGTGTTCAGCGGGATGGCACTTGCACCACAAAATATACAGACTAAATGCCTGGATCTGCTGTGAATCAGAAGCTACATCTGGAAAGTAGCAATACAAATCTGACTCTCCAGGGATGCCCACAGCAATGAAAGCAGGCTTGGACGACAAAATGACAGATACTGGCAACTTGGACAGGATATTACCAGAATGGGAGAAAAACTTAAAGGATATAAAAATACCTGCTTGTTTCAACAAGATGCCCCAAGAGACTGGGAAGACTTTCCCTCACTCCAAACAAGTTGGGAATTACCTAGTAGGCAAAATGATCAACAAGGGCTCCTTTGCCACGGTGATGGAGGGGCTGCACATCCCCACGGGGGAGAAGGTAAGCTTCTAATGAGAGGGTACCACGCACTAGGAATCACAAGTAACCTCACACTAACTTATGTCAGAGAATTTCAGACCATTTAATCTGCAAACCACAATCTACTCAGTGAATTATCCTCTGAACCTTATCCTCATAAATTAACCTCATAAATTGAGTTTATTGCTCATGTATAATCAGTCACATGTGTGAATATGTACTGACTGCAACTGTTTTCACAATTATAAAACAATATAGACAACAAAGATATCCTCCCACTGAAAGAGAATAAGATAATGGCATAAGGACAATTTCAAATCTGCTTTCCCTGATAATCCTCATTGACTAATTGGTGCCGCGTATCTGATCTTTAAAGCTATGGACAACACTTATTGAAAAGACAGCCACTCCAACAGCAATCATTTATATGGCAGGATACAGATAACATCTGTTATCTCTAGCTCAGTCGGGTTAGAATAACGTACCACTAGATGTAACTCTGGAAAGGTGGATTACTATCAAGTGGCTTTTTGATTTTTACTTTTCTTATGGCTTCAGTAGCTTCACTGGCTGAGTAGCTGCCCAAACTGCAAAGGGCCTAATCCCAGCCCATTATAGCCAGTATCTTGAATGGCTTTTAGACCAAGTCAGAAGGGAGCATGTTAGAAAAAAATTTGGCACAGTACAGATGCAGTTAACAGTCAAGCATGTAGGGATTTTTTGCACTTAAGAACATTTCATATATGCCTATTTATTAATGCAATCGGATGGATAGATATGACAGTTCAGCCTTCTTGTTTTGGCTTTCAAATGAAATAAAACGTGTATTCTTCCATCGAGAATGTCTCCTCTGTGATACTGATTATCAACATCACGTCAAAAACAGCTTCTCCCACATGTCAGCTTACTCCGCATCCTTTTGAAAATTAATCTAGGTTGCAAAGCTTGTTGCCAATTTGCATATATCCTGCAATTTAGGTAGCCATAAAAGTCATTGACAAGAGAAAAGCCAAGCAGGATTCCTACATTTTAAAAAATATGAAGCGTGAGCCACGGATACACCAGATGATTAAGCACCCCAATGTTGTTCGGCTATATGAGACCTTGGAGACTGACAACTCCTATTACATGGTGATGGAGCTGTGCCTTGGCGGGGACCTCCTGGATAGAATTTGTGACAAAAAGAGGCTGGCTGAAAGGGAAGTAAGGAGATACACCAGGCAAATTCTGTCTGCAGTAGACCACCTGCATTGCCAGGGGATTGTTCACAGGTAAGATGTTTCCCTCCTTCCAAAGAACAGTAAGAAAAGAAAGCATGCAAGAACATAGAGTGCTCTTCTTCAGCGAGAGCATTTCTTTAATTTTCCCTTGTAAAAACAGGGATTGCAAAGAAGACTATGTTCTCTCAGCCCATCTTAATAACACATTTTATTCTCAGCGGTGGTAGAAGATAAGCTGTTACATGCTCCTTGGGGAATAAAGTAACAAAGTCCAGGGATAAGAGCTGATGAGCGCAACAAATTAATACTTTGCCATGATTGTCTCAGAATTAGCTGCTGACAAATGTGTATCTAATTCAAATATTTCAGTGTGGCTATGCATATAAATATTGATTTCATTCAGTTAGCCACAACATATTGAAATAACCACACATCACTCAGGACCAAAGATAGATTGAGAAATCACAGCTCACTGGCTGTGCAGAGGACATGGTCCTGTGGGTCCAGGTCTGTGGCAGGTTGCTGACCTTCCACACTGGCTTCTGCACTACAGGGACAGATTACGACTTCAGCCACTGCTAGAGGAACCTGAGCAGCCCATGCAATGAGAGCTGATCTTCTTCCCCCAACAGGGATCTCAGCACATATGCCAAGAGCAGCAGAATAAGGACTTCCCTTTTAGGTGGAAGAATAGGCAAGAAGCAGTTTTTCCCACCGGTTTTCTGTTTTACTTAATAATTCACGGTCAATCAGATCCTTAATTTTAAATGGTAAATGCACTCATCAAGAAAGCCCACAGGACCTACCAAGTAATCCAGTTGACTGTATCATTGCAGTAACCATGAAACTAATAAGATCTGAATGTGATGGCTCAGCATTTACAAGTGCTTTGTGACTTGAAATGCTTGCAATCCAGCACTTAATTATATTAGATTTGTTAATTAATAAGGAATGTACAAGAAAGAAATAGTCAGTATCTGACCTAGAGAATTTAAACAAACAAAAAAAACCTACCAGAAAATAAACCCAAGGGGCTTCACCCATTTAGTCCAGGCTGACATCCCTGCCTTGCTGGTTCCCTAACTAATCTATTTTACAGCATTTCTTCAGTGCCCATGATCAAAACATTTACGGTCTTCCCATGACAACATTCCTCATGAATTTCTCAAGCCCTCTTCCCTTCTTTCTGTTTGGAAACAGCTCTTCCCAGTGAGCAGGGGAGTAGCCTGACTTCTTCCCCTACTTTTCTTCCGTTGGTATCATTTTGCTGGGAAAACTTTGCAAGAGATAAGAATGTTGCTGCACACTCTGAGAGCAGCCAGATATGAAGTAGTGTGAGCTTCTCCGGAGACTTGCTTTACTATCAAACCCCCCTAACCAAAGGAAAATTCATCCTTGGCTCTCAAGCGCCTTGTCATAGAGTTTATGAAGTTGCATGGTCCGGCAGGAGCCCAGCCACCTTGCTAGTTCACGGGCATAGGTATGGTCAGCAGTACCTCAACTCATGGCCTGCTGCTAGCTTTGAGATTCAGAGCTACGGCCTTGACCTCATACCAGAAGCAGACTGGGAAGGATTTGGAAGGGCTTCCCTGCTCAGCTCCAGCTGCAGTGATTTATAGCAACTCACTGAGGAGGTTAAAACCGATGAGGATAATTGTGGGTGTATCCTCTTCTGAACAGAAGGCATCAATGATTCCAGAAAGATGAGCACAGAAATAGGAAAGTTACCTCACAAAGTCAATCTGATTTTCTCATCTAAGCACTAAGCAAAACTCAACTCTGCATTGCTTTAACACAAGGAAAGGAGGGTTGCCCAACTGCCTGGTGGGAACGGCTGCTACTCCATGCTACCCTGGCACCCCACAGGTGTCAGGGCGTTGCTGGGGAGGGTGTTGGAAAATCACACCAGGTATCATGCTAATAATTTCATGAGATGGATAATTGTGTGCCAATGCTTCGGTCTCTGCCCAGGGCCTCTTTATTTTACTGGAATGGAGGTGCCTGGTGATTGCAAGGTCTCGTTCCTAAGCGATGAGCTTAAGAATTTGCTAATCTAGTTTACTTTTGCTCAGAAATG